TAGGCATCTTTAGTTTAGTTTAGTTTAGTTTAACTTTATTGTCTGTCCAGATTTCCTGAACAGAAATTCATCTTTGACACTGGCATAGAAAATACATCCTAACAGATAATACTATACATTCACATATCACATAATAAAAATAAATAAATAAATAAATAAAAAATTAATACAATACAATATATATATGTATGCCCACACATATGCATACACATGTGTACACACACCTACCCATAAAGATACTTCATGATAATACCTCAATTAAGAATTTGGTTTAAAACAGTCACCGCCAATGGTACAAATTATCTTTTATATAGGTTCTTTTTAGCCAGCGGTATACGCAGCCTGCGCCCTGAAGGAAGGGCCTCAAAGCAGAAATGAAGTGGATGAGTTTGGTCTGAATATATTGCGATCGCCTTTTTTTCCATAAAGTGTAAAAACAGCTCTTGCATTGTACTCTGTTTCTGGCCGATTATCTTATTCGCTTCATTAATTACTCGTGTCAATTTATTTTTCTGTCTCATTGTTAAATTGCCATACCATGATACAAATTCAAAGCAGTCCACGCACGTGTGACGATTTGCAAATGCAGATTCAATGATCCATAAATGCATGTAACATCATTCATAAATGTGTGATGGAAATTAATTCAAGAACTTGATATATACATATTTGTGTAAACATTTTAAATTTATTTAGGTAAGATGCTTTTGTGTGAGCATTTGGGGAAATATTTATGCTTTTACTTCTGTATTTATGAATTGTGTTTTGAATTTACGAATCGGATTTTGTAAATGTAAATTGTGCTGTGCATTTATGAATTTTGTTTTATAAATGTATTATTTTTGAGGCCGATCTGGCTCCATACCTTTTGTCTTCTCAATGTTCAATTGTAAGTGACTATCATCAAACCACTGAATAAGACTTTCAATATACTCAAAATAAGTTAAACTATTCATGTCCAATTGGCAAGAGATTAAAACCAAATCATCAGTGTATTTGATCAGGGTGAGATCATCCCTGTTACATTGAAGTTCATTAATATAGACAGAAAAAAGCAGAGGTGATAACACACACCCCTGTGGTAACCCTGAATTCAGGACTGTATAATCAGATGAGATTCCATTAACACAAACTCGTTGGGGTGTATTTCTTAAAACATTTTCAATCCATAAAATCAACCAACTGCTTACACCTAAATCTTGCAATCTTTCTTTTAAAATTTTCGGTTGTATAGTATTAAAGGCTGATGTAAAATCCATAAAAAGAATTCTGACATGAGCATTTGTTTTATCTAGGTGGTGTTGGGCCTTATGTAACAAGGTCAGAGAGGCATCCACCGTGCTCCGATCGGGCATGTAAGCAAATTGTAATGGATCTACAAAGCCTTTAATTTGTGACATCAATTCTTTACATAATATACGCTCCATGCACTTGCACAGAATAGATGTTAATGCAATTGGGCGAAAGTCTTTAAGAGCTCTGGCCTGAGAAGTTTTAGGTACTGGAATAACAGTGGTGTTTTTCCATGCTGCTGGTACAAAACCATCATCTAAAAAGACCTGAAACAACCTAGTACAAACATGCCCAAGTTTTTCTGCACATTCTTTTAATACAATGCCCTTAAGGCCATCTGGACCGGTGGCTTTATGTGTTTTAATTCTACGGAGCACTTTGGTAACCTCCCTTGCCTCTATTCTCATAGATTTAGATTCAATGAGAGTATCATTATTCACATTATTAACACCTATAGTATTGTCAAATCGTGAATAAAAAACATTTCAATTATTTACAAATGTATGGGGGTCATCATCAACCAGTTGTATTTGTTTCTGTTGTCTACCCATCATTATGTTTAGTCCCCTCCATGCATCTCTGACATTACCACTTGTAAATTTCTTCTCAGCTTTCCCTTTATACTGTATTTGCGCCTCCTTTATCTTACGTTTGACCTCTTTATTTGGCTCTTTTACTTTGTGTCTCATTCCTTAAAAAAGCCATTCTCTTCTCATTTAAAGATTGTTTAAGATCTTTGTTAATCCAGCGTTTGTTGTTTGGAAATACTCTTAACGTTTTTTGTTTGAACCACAGTCTCTGCACAAAAGTTAATATAACCAGTAATTGTGTCATTCAACAACTCATGATCATTGCAGCAATTAAAATCATTAAAAAACAAGTCCCAATCGGTGCTCTCAAAGCAGTCTCTAAGGTTTGCCACTGAATCTTTAGTCCATGACTGCACCTGCTGGATGACAGGTTTAGTCCTTTTTAACATCTGCCTGTATTTTGGAAGGAGATGGATGACGTTATGGTCTGAACGTCCTAGTGGTGGATGTAACCGTGACACATAAGTACTGTCCACATTACCAAAGCATTTATCTAAGGTTTTGTTCAGTCTCGTCGGACAAGTTATATACTGTTCCAAGTTCGGCAAAACTGCTGATATTTCACAGTTATTAAAATCTCCAAGGAGAAACACTGGATCATCCGCTGAATTGTGCAACGCCATGTTGTAGCTGGCAGCAATGCCCTCGGCTGCAAGTGAAAAATCTGGCCCAGGCACATAGACCAGAATAACAGTGATTTGTCTGAACTGTCGAGGCAAATAGTGTGGTCTGAATGAAACCGATAATTCGTAGTCGGCTGAACAGTAGGTTCCACGTACCGTAGCATTGGTTGCCCAGCTGTCGTTGACAAACATACATAGTCCTCCTCCGATGCTTTTAAATGATTTCTGGCTGTCACGGTCCAGTCGTATTAACGAATATCCCTCGAGGTTTATGTCATCAATCTCCTCCGCTAGCCATGTTTCAGTAATGCAAAGCAAGTTTGTTCTCTTGAAGTCTCGATTATATCTCATTAGTGCTGCAAGTTCAGACATCTTGTTTTTAAGTGAGCGAGCATTAGTTAGAGTTATTGTGGGCAAAGGAAAACGGCTGCCTCGTCGTTTAAGTCCTATCCTGTGTAATAGCCAAAATGTATTTTGAACGTAGTTACTGAATTTCATCTAACTTTAACTCTATTCATGTAGCCTACTCCTGTTTACTCTGTTGTTTCAGGAGTATAAGCATATGCACCCCCAGCTGTTCTGCATTCATGATCAATATATTTTTTATTTTGCTGATTGTCTTGTCAATCTTTTTGATAAAAAGGAAGCTGAATTTGCTTTGTTATTGTTCACGTGTTGGTGCTGAGGCGCCGCGTTATAAGCAAACGTTTCATGGTTCACTGTTATTGTTTTCATACCACACATTTCATGATGGCTATTTTAGAGGTGTGTCTAGCGATCCACAGACTCTTTTGAATGTCATTCAGAACTTTTTGAATTAAAAGCTCTCAATTCATCTCAAAATAAAACATTGTTGCAAAAACGTTCTCACACTTTTATTTTGAAGGCAAAACCACAAAAGACGAAGTGATTGTGAGTAACTGTTGCTGTCATGACAGATCTATTTCAGGTTGAGAGCGTGGGCCAGATATTATTGCTGGCGGGCCAGTTTTGGCCCGCGGGCCGCCTGTTGCCGACCACTGTTCTATGCAATTGTTTTGATAAAGGGAAACAAGTTACAAGTCTAGTTTCAACATTATTTATTCTTCAAACATTTCTCTTTAAATACAGTAAATATCAGCTGCATACAAAGTGACCATCATTTGGTTTTTGACTACTGACTTCTGATTCAACAATTTGGACATGAAGCTGCATTGAGATCCCCATATCTCTGGGATTTAACCATATAGGGCCTTTGAAATGATGATTCCAAAAGAAAAGTTTAAGAACCAGAATGTAAAATCATACTGAGATATCTTTAATACTTGAGTTACAGGCACGCAAACTTTGGAAAAATAATATATATGGCACTGAGACAGGTATGAGCTATGCAATTGTTTTGATCGAGGGAAACATGATACATTTCTAGTCTCAACATTATTTGTTCTTCAGACATTTCTCTTTAAAAGAAAAAAGAATCGGGTGTATGCAAAGTGATTCACATTTGATTTTTTTTTTTTACCACTGACTCCTGGAGCCATATTGAGAGCCCTATATCTCTAGAACTGAACCATATAAGGCCTTAAAAATGAAGATACCAAAAGAAACGTTCGGAGGAGACAAATTGTTGAATAAAGTTGTTATTTTTGTTTTCTTTTGCGCAGAAAAAGTATTATCAAAAATGGGTTGGTTGGTTGGGTGGGTGGGTGACTGAGTGAGAGAGAGAAAGAGAGAGTTATACTATCAGATTGATGAAATGATATTGGATGCAGTTCAGGGTAGGATGAAATAGAAAACTTTTTAATACTCCCAATGGTTTGTATAAGTGTGTGTGTGTGTGTGTGTGTGTGTGTGTGTGTGTGTTAGCGTGAGTATGCATGCATCCAAACATGAAAAGGTCCAAGGCCTTTATGTTTGCAAGCACACGTACATATGTGAACGTGAACATGATCAACATGCTCCTGAACACTAATAAAATCTAAAAGGGCATTAAGATATCTTTAATACTTCTTGAGTTACAGACATGCAAACTTTGGCGAAAAATTTTAAAATGCTTTTTTTCCTATTTTTGAACGGTCACCATTGGCATATAATGCAACAAAGATTACTAAAGTCAACCGATTTTACTAATAGACCAACCAATCTTTCTCTGAAAACAACATAATGCTGCCATCTTTCTGAAGTCATTTTTACCTTCTTGTAATTTGGCTCTGAATCCCAGATGAAAATTTCCATTTTGACCCACCTCAACAAAATAGTGGAATTTGTTTCTGGAATTTGGTTGATTTGACACTGAATGACCCAAATGAAATCAAAACTTTGTACAAGACACATCTCTGACATGAGCTTTTTCAACAAGCAGTGGGGATCAAACCGGCTTTGGCAAAAAGTGATCTGGACGTGTCCCACCCGTCTACCTGAAAATGACTCTTGTGCATTATCACTCTCTCTGCAGCCTCTTCAAAGTCTGAGGGCTCACCAATGCAGCTGCCAGAGATTGCTGGGAAGAAGTCAGAAAAGAAGAAAGACTTTGTAAGACCAACTAGACATGCTGTAAGTAATTGTTGTCTTTTAATGTCAAATCATCTGATTTGTTGGTGTGCAGAAATGACAAAAAGGCCTCATATTCAGACAGATTTCTATTGTTTCTATTGACAGTTTCTATTGAACTGAATGATAGATACATTCACACTGAACATTTTTACTCTGGGTGTAGATCTCTCTTTTTTTACTCCTTTTGCTTTATTTGAGATTTTGGAATTTTATGGATTGTCCATGATGTTCTTCACCATTAATCAGTCAATCTCTCTGACAATTTAAACTAGGTAGAAGTAGTGAGTTGGATGACGTTTTTGCTTTGTCTGCACATATTGTATTGTGATATTTGATTTTACTGCACTTGGATCTTTTTGAATAGCTGTACATTTTCTGTTCAAGTGAACACCACTCCTTATGAAAGTGTTTTTTTTTTTCTTTCCAAGTTTAATTGAAAGCTTTTTTAATTTAGTTTAGTAATTGGCAAGACACATGTCAAGTTGCTGTGCAGAGACTGAGATGTTGATTTGCTGCCTTTTTTTCTTTAAAATTTTTACTGTTACAGTGATGCATCTTTATGCCTTATCAACATTCCTGAATTGCAACCACCTTGCACTATGTTATTGACTGGCTGAGTACTCTACAAATTATTATTGTAATAATACAACTTTTCTTTTCTTTTGACAGCCTGCATCGTTCATAGAAGGACGCTGCTGTGGTTTAGGTTAAAAACTTATAAATACTCGGAACATATCAGACTATCTGTAACAGACAAAGCAATCGTGACATAATAAAAACATTGGTACTCACACTTGTGTGTTGCGACATTTCTGACTTATCCAAAATGGTCAGCACAACATCGTCTTTTAGTTTCAATCTCTCTGAAAATCCTGCGTCGAATTGTGTCTTGTTTAAAAATGAATCTGCAGGATAAAGAACCGAACAAATGACCAGGTTCTTATTGACGCAATCTGAACCTTTATTAAAAAAAGTTCATCCACTCGTTTCTAATGTTAGGATCAGAAAGAAGGCAGTGCAAAGACTGCACAGCATCTTGTTATCCTCTGAGCCATCTTTATCATTTGGTTGTTGAGTAAACCTGTGTTTGCCTCTCTCGTTATTTACCTACTGCATGTGCAAAAAGAGGCAGTGATGTAGAAGTAGGCACATGTAAAAGGCATATGTCAAGTTGCTGTGTAGAGACAGAGATGTTGATTTGATTTTTTTCTTTCAAATTTTTACTGTTACAGTGATGCATATTTATGCCTTATCAACATTCCAGAATTGCAACCACCTTGCACTATTTTATTGACTGGCTGAGTACTCTACAAATTATTATTGTAATAATACAACTTTTCAGTGTGAGAGAGGAATCAATTTAAGAGTGCTGTTGACAAAGACCCTTACATGTAGACTTTTCCCACACCTCCAGGATCTCACTGCTCTGGCCAAGGAGCTGCGTGCAGTGGAAGATGTGCGACCTCATAATAAGGTGACAGATTACTCCTCATCGAGTGAAGATTCAGATGTAGATGATGACGTGGTGGAGCAGGAGCAGGGTGATGAATCCACTTCAGGAGCAGAGAACTCAAGGACATGGCATGTGACACAGTCCAGTTAATTAAAATACTACTCAGGAAACCATATAGAACACCACAAATCTTTTAAGGATGAATTGTTTTTCCTCTCCAGCTCATCAAAGTTGAATAATGGTGAAACCGAGTCAGTGAAAACCATGCTTGTTCATGATGAATCTGAGAGTGATCCAGCCTCCACCACACCTAGCAAAGATGTAACTTCAATCGTTAGACAGGTATTGTAAAAATAATTTGTTTACTCAATTCATCTTAATTTCACATATCACATATCATATCACATATTTTGTCATGTGTTCCATATATACAGTGGTGTGAAAAAGTGTTGGCCCCCTTCCTGATTTCTTATTTTTTTTGCATGTTTGTCACACTTGAATGTTTCAGATCATCAAACAAATTTAAATATTACACAAAGATAATGCAAGTAAATACAAAATCCAGTTTTTAAATGATGATTTCATTTATTAAGGGAAAAAAGCTGTCCAAACCTACGTGGCCCTACGTGAAAAATGAATTGCCCCCTCCTGTTAAATCATGAAAGAACTGCAATTAACCACATTATTTTAGAAAGCTGAGTTAAATTTCACCAGCCACACCCAGGCCTGATTACTGCCAGACCTGTTGAATCAAGAAATCACTTAAATAGAACCTGTCTGACAAAGTGAAGCATGCTTAAATAGCAACACATTATGCCGTGATCTAAAGAAATTCAAGAACAGATGAGAATCAAAACAGTTGACATGTATCAGTCTGGAAAGGATTATAAAGCCATTTCTAAGGCTTTGGAACTCCAGTGAACCATGGTCAGAGCCATTATCCACAAATTGAGAAAACTTGGAACAATGGTGAACCTTCCCAGGAGTTGCCGGCCAACCAAAATTACTCCAAGAGCACAACGACGACTCATCCAAGAGGTCATAAAAGAACCCAGAACAACATCTAAAGAACTGCAGGCCTCACTTGCCTCAATTAAGGTCAGTGTTCATGATTCAACAATAAGAAAGAGACTAGGCAAAAACGGCATCCATGGGAGAGTTCCAAGGCAAAAGCCA